CTGTGTGCTGGCCGGAGAATAGCTGTCCCCTGCTCCCACTCATTCCACACGCCCCCAGTCTGCCTGTGTCCAGCAACAAACACAGGGTTCTTGGTGACTCCCAAGAAATCACAGCCACAGCTACAATCACCAATCACACGTTCAGAAATGTCAGGGTGCTGACGGCAACAGGGACTGCGAGAACAAGGCTGTATCTGAATCTGGCAGGATGCTGTGGGGCGGCCACCTCATGCCACTACTACTCTTTCTGTAACAAGCCCAACTTTGCTGGCGGTTCAACTGTCTGAAAAAGAAATGACTCTCAAATTTATCTAAAACCTGAGAAACCTGACTCCTTAACCTCTCACTAAACCTCAGTTTGGCCATCAGTCAAGCAGAAACCATCCTGCCAACCACACAAGATCGCCAGGCGGATACCGAGCACTGGGATGATGACTGGAACACAAACAGCTAAGCACCTGACAAATGTTAGCATTACATGCTGGCTAAAAACTAAGTAAATTTTGGAAGAAAATCACACAGACATCAAAGGGAAAAAACAAAGCTTAACTGCTCCCTAAGCTTAGGAGAGCCAGGCCAAGCCCCTCAATGAACAGTCTGACCGTGTAAACTTAGCATCAAAGGAGCTATCAGATCAGAAGGAAGAGTGCGCCGTGCACAGGGCCATGAACAGCACTTGCCCCATCAGCCCACCTGCACACACACACGTGTGTACATACACAAATCCACATGTGCACACATGGATACACAGTCAGTCAAGATATCACAAGATAACACTGAATTTATAAAAGTCACACGCAACAACTCAGTTAATTGCTGCCCTCGTTCTTTTGGCCTTGACTCACAGCTCGTAGGAACTTAGTTCCCTGATCAGGGACTGAACCCAGGCCCTGGCAGTGACAGTATCGAGTCCTAACCACTGGACCAGCAAGGAATTCCCACTCCCCAAGTTATTTAACACTCCTGACACTGTAGTCAGGATCCACTAGTTTAATGTTAACTTGAAAAGGAAAACCAAAAAGGAGAACCAGAAGGTAGTGAGAGTGTGTGCTGTCGAACGCCTGTGCCCCCAGATGACCATGGAAAGGTATCTTCCCTGCCTTGTCATCCACACTGGCAGACCGCAAGGCGAGCAACCACCTCCGTCTCACACCCCTTCAACATGGGCTGACCCCACAATATGCTCTGCCTGGCAGGATGGGGCAGAAGTGACACTATGCAGCTCAGGCCTCGGGGGTCACATGGCACCTGCCCTCTGGTTCACTGTCCAGGAAGGGTGTCGAGGGGCACACACCCTGCCACCTGTCAGCCAGCCACCAAGACAGTCAATTAGCCCATGGAACTAAGGGTTTAACTCTCAAAAACAAGATTGGTTTCATACTCAAAATACAGTCCCATGTAATTCACAGATTTTACAAACCAGAAAAGCAAAATCATACAATCAACTCAAACAGGTGCAAAAAGTGTGGGTTCTGTTTTGTCTAATATTTATTTGGCTGTGCCGGGCCTTAGTTGCAGCATGTGGGATCTCTCCTTGGAGCACGTGGATTCTCTAGTTGTGGCCCATGGGCTCCACAACTGTGGTGTGCAGGCTGAGCTGCTCTGCGGCATGTAGGATCTTAGCTCCCAGACCAGGGTTCGAACCCGAGTCCCCAGCACTACAAGGTGGATTCTTAACAACTGCACCACCAAGGAAGTCCCACAAAAAGTTTTTGATAAAATCCAACGTCCATTCCTGATAAAGAAAAAAAAAGAACTCAGCATATCTGGAATAAAACGGAACCTCCTCAACCTATGAAAACCCTACAGCTAGTTAATGGTGAATCCCAGTTAATGGTGAAAAGTGACGGCTTCCCCACAGTCAGGAACAAGTCTCAGACCGGTGGCTACTGCCCCTGCTTCTTTCCATCCCTGCACTGAAGGGTCTGGTCAGGGCAGTCAGATCAAGAGGAGACAAAAAGACACCAGAGTAAAGGAAGGAGTAAAGTTGCCGACAAGATACCCAAACCGAGCAGACAGCCACCGGAACCAGCCATTGAGTTTAGCATGGCGGCAGGACCCAAGGTTAATAAAAAATTTTGACCTCTCTACTAGCACAAAATAATAGTAATTTGGGGAATTTCCCAGTGAGCCCGGTGGTTAAGACTTGGGGCTTTCACTGCTGAGGGCCTGGGTTCAATCCCTGGTTGGGGAACTAAGCTGCCACAAGCCACACAATGCAGTTTTTTTAAAAGTTTCTTTTAAAAAAGGAAATTTTTAAAAATATATCATTTACAGCAGCATCAAAATATGAAATACTTCAGAGGAAAATGTGACAAGAGATGTATAAGACTCTAAGCCTGACTAGTGAAGCCTCACTGAGGGAGAACACAGGATACAGAGCCGGCAGAGAGACCCCCAGCATCCATGGCCAGGAGGCTCCAGTCTGCCCAACTTAAGAGTCAGTGCGACCCCAACCAAAACCCCAGCCGGCTTCTCTGTGAAACGTGACAAAAAGCAGGAAATTAGAGTCTGAGAAAGAAAACTGAGTCTGCAGGCTTCTGTGTGCAGCTCCAGGAGCCATGTGGGTGCTGCAGTCAGAGACAGGGAAAGAGACAACCGACAGAGGGGCGTCAAGACAACAGACAGACAAACGGACACAGCTGAGTCTCCACCAAGCACAAGGGCGATGGAGAGGAAAACAGATTCCATCTATACAAAGTTCTGGAAAACACAAAGTACTCTACAGCAAGTCAGGAGCAAGAGAGGGGTGGGGTGGGGGAGGGGCCCTGAACTCTAGGGGTGACAGATACATTAACTTTCTTAAGTGTGCTAAAACCACACACTTTAATAGTAAGTACAGTCTACTGCATGTCAGTAACACCTGAGTAAAGCTAGAACAAAACAACACTTAGCTGGCATCAAAGGTCACCCTTGGCCAAGTGAAACAGGCGAGGAAAGATAAGCAAAATTATCATAATTTAGGGCTTGTGTGGTGGCTGCTTTAATAGTTATCAGCTCACTGGGATGGGGGGAGCGCTAAGAGGCATATATAATCCCAATTCTAATCAGAACAACAAGAGATGCAGTGACCCACGCTCGGTCCTGCCTCTGACACCACCTAAACCCTGCAGAGGAAGACCAAGGAGCCACGACCTGGGCCCAGCAGTCGCAGGACAGGGTGCCCAGTGGCCAGGCTGCAGATGCAGACAGGTGACCACGGGCTTTGTGTGTCCAGAGCAGACATACGTAGAAAAACTGATGAAGCTAACAGATTAAAGGAAAAGCAGAGTGTCAGTCTCAGGAAGGGTAAAAATCAATCTCTTCTCCTCTATATCCTAAACTGAAAAGCACTACTGAACTGCAAACTAGAGACTCTGGCATTTCTAACAATTTCCCTGCCACAGTCTTTGAGCAACTGAGCACAAAACCCAAAGGACTAGTAACCTCAGCCCCTGAGCACCCAGATGTCACACCTTCAGAAACACAAACCTGAACCAGGTGATGACAGCAAGTCAAGGAAAGCTCACGACACAGCAAGAACCCACCAAACTGCCCCAGAGGCCTGCTGCCTCACAGCAAGGGCTCTGCAGAGGCCACAGTCAGGAGGAAGCACAACACGGCGGGTTTAAGGTACGACCCACCACCCAAATCACACCCTCAGGCTCCATGCAGCGACGCACAGAAGAGGAAAAAGGAACCCTTCTCTAGCTGTGTATTTGCTTCAGGGCCTTAGTACCCTAACCGCCAGGCCCTGCCCACCACACACGGGGCAGCTTAGTGGTGTCCTCAGCTGCGCCGAGCACCACGGTAGTCACTTTATCTTAATTTTTACACTATATATTCACTCTCTGCCAAAGGGTCCATGAGGGATAAACTTACTATAATTAGCACTTTTCCCCATGTACCAGGCATACATCATCACTCACAGACAGACAGAGATCTGTAAACAAACAAGAGGCCCCTCCAGAGCGCCACCACACAAGCAGGAGCGGGCAGAGGTGGGGACAGAGAAGGAAAAGGGCAGATGGTAGACGCTCCAGATCAAACCGCGGGCATCCCACCTTCTCTCTGAGATGGAGCTGCCACGTGTACACCCAGGACCAGGGCGCAAAAGGCACAGCTCAGCAGGGGGCAGAAGACTAGGAGCCAAGCAGGGCGGCCGAGCACCCTCTCCACGTGCCAAGGCTGGGCACAACACATCTTATTTTTGCACAGAAGTGGGAAGAGGGTGCCAAAATCTATAAGTTGGGTGTGATATTTAGGAGATACAGACAGTAACTAAAAAGAAATCACTTCAGACTCCCACAACAAACCCAAGGCATGGAACCCAGCCATGGAGATGGACACAGAAGCAAGGGAGACGCAGCGGGGTCCAGACAGCCAGAGCCGACAGCCGCCACAACACCTGCTCCAGGGGGGCCACCACATACCAAAACAGCTTCATGGGTGGGAAGACAGTTCACTGAAGGACAACTGTTACACAGAACAGGAACCCACGACCAGAAAGGGGAGCAGGGACGTCCCCTGGAGACGGAGGATGAGAATCCACCAAGGGGGTGCCAACGGCACAGCCAACAAAGGAGCAGTCGTAACATGAAGAAAGCTGACTGGGGAGCGGAGGCCAAGGGTGAGGGGGAGAAGGGACTCCCAGGCAGGAAGCACCCCATTTAAGACCTGGAAGAGGGCCATCTCCTTAAGGAAGAGAGCAATAGAGTCAGAGCTCCATTTCAGAAACTCACTTTGGTAACTGTGGAAGCATCAGGGACCAAGACAAAAGGGAGAGAAGGACCAGCAGTAAGGGAGGGATGACAGCGAGAGAAACAGGAAGGAGGGTGTTTACAGGAAAACACAGAGAGAGACCTCCGAGAATGCCCCACACAGAAGCTGAGCCCAGCTGGAGGAGCTAGAGGTTTGAGAGCTGCAGTCAGGATCACCCTCTACTGCCTCCTGCAAGAGGAGCCTGGAGTATGGAGCGGGGTTCAGCCCAGAGCCCCGCCCGGGGTTCCCTGACACATCCATCACCGCCCAGCTCTGCCGGGCAGGTACACACTTGAGCCTCGAGATCCCACATGTGCGAGCAGGCCCAAGAGGGCGGGGAGCAGGGGCACCACGCAGCCAGATCCAGGAGCCAGAGTTCTCCGAGGCCCCATCCCAGGAGCCGCCCGGGGTGAACACTCAGCGCATGCCTGGGCCTGGGCGGGGCCCCTGCTGGGAGAAGGGCGGCTGGCATGAGGCTCAAGATGCAAGCCCGAGAGGGGGCTCCAGGGCCAGGAGGGGCGGAAGCAGACTCCGAGGGCATGAGGAGGGGACCACTCTCCCGATGCCTGGCCGTTGACCAGGTGAGCCCGAGCGAGGACCCCAGACTCCGCGCAGCGGGCGCTCAAACCTCCGTGGTCACCTGTGAGGTGTCCTGCGCACCCGCCAGCCCCTCCTGCTCCACCTCCTCACACAAACAAGTAACGACAGGGTACATGTTGCCAAAAGGGTGTACAGGCCTCTCAGACACAAAGTTCAAGAGAAGAACACCAAAACAGAAAGGGTTCTGTCGCTCAAAGGGAGGCTGAGCCACACTGCGCTGAACTGCTGAGAGCCCATCAGGAGGCCTGGTAGCTCAGCCCTGACCAGCACTCACCACCACGCTGGACTGTTTCCACAGCAACCAGAAAGGAAATACAAGGCAATCAGTTTTACATGAAAATTATTCTCCATTACAATAAAATGCTACAGTCAGGAAAAACATTTTGAACTAGGTAAACAACATCCATAACATTAATGATAATTATTTATTCACCACCCAAACAACTTTTCCTTATGTTCTAAAATACTTTGTATTATATTACTCACACCAGAAATCTGAAGGCTACTTCGTGAGCACTAAATATTACTGTCAATAAAGCATGCTGGGTCTTCCATCCTTAAATGAGAAAAAAGTGGCAGATGACATCACAAAAGCAAGTACAAAAGTTACAAGTCAACAAGTACAAAAATTACAATCAAATCAAACATCTTTTCCCCACTATCTACATGGATCAAGAAATGCCCTCAGAAGTCTGAAGAAAGATCAGACATAAAAACAGCTGAGCAAGACAAAGATGAAATGATAGAAATACACAAATTCTAAGAACAAAACCATCTTAGCCAATGCCTTCTCACATCAAAACCACCAAGTTACAAACACAATTCAGGCACATCAACCAATTCTCAAAAACCAGAATCAAATTCAAAAGTCCCTGTCTTCCACACCCCCAAGGCTGCCTGTATCTTGTCACAGCCTGAGGAGCTCGGCACCATGAGGACAGTCACATGCCACGAGAGAGCTCAGAACTCTGAGAGAAATACAGCACACAGCAAACCTGGCCCACGAGGAAAGGTGTGCGGCTCGCTGGGCCACACCCGCCTCTGAGCAGCCCCACAGGGCCTGACTCAGCGGCGCGGCTCTCCCCACAATGGCGACGGCTGACGCGGGCACTGGGCTGCCCCATCTCCCGCCTGACCAGGGGTGACTGATTCTTCCACAAAGAGGCCCTAGCATCTCACCTGCCAACAGCACTGTGATCACTGCCGTCCTCACACAGGCCAGAGAAGAGGCCTGGGCCTGCAACTGACCCCATGACCAACACAAGGCCCAACACCCCTGTGCCTTGACTGGTATTCCTTCCCCAGACCCGTTTCCAGTTATGTCTGGAAACTCTCCAATCCAAAGAGAAGAAAGATAACCTGCAAGATGCCATCCCCTCCTCTCCTGACCCACACGTTGGTCTGAAGGTGACTGAGTCTGGAGGGGCAGACACTCACCACGGTTACGTGCTCTCTGTGGTCCAAAAGGACCTTCACCATCTAATAAACGTGCAGATGCTGCCAGCATTAACTACAAACTAAAACCATGACAAATTTTAGTAAGACTAACTCTCTAACCAATAACTTTTTCAGCCTTTTCTAGAGAGAAATCTCTAAAATACAAGCACCCACCAAATACCAGTCCCTCAATGTGTGGAAGTTTTCACCTGTTCAGAAAGCCTGGCCGTCCTGACAAACCTCTCAAAGGTCAGAACTGTGCTGCTTTTAAAACAAATCAAAAGCTCTCAGATCCCACTGGTGGGCCATGAGCCAACACAGTCTCAGCAAAGCCCTGACCTCACAATCCTAGGAACAGAACCCACAGCTGACACTCATACCAGAAGGATGCACAAAGCTGTCATTCTGTCACAGCGAGATGCTGGAAACAAGAAAATGTCATCAGGAATAGGCGAGTTAGGTAAGTTGTGGCACATATACATTACCATGATGGAAAACACAAAGCAGCTCCACAGGTATTAACACAGAACAATCTCAAAGAATAAGTGGAAAAAACAAAGTATGGAAAAGCATCTATCCGCACAAACTTACAGACTCACACACACGAGGCCACCCAAGGGACGTGAAGGAAGCGCCCTGGAGCTCAGCACTGGGGGAAAAGAACCAAGGCTTCCTGCGCCAGCCCACAGAGAAAACCTTGTTTTCAATAGAAACTCGAGCATAAAGACTAAAGTGGAAAAAATAAATAAAACTGTGGGAAGACAAGATAGTACAGCTTTGGCCATCACAGCAGGGGCGATCTACCCCATCACAACTCTCAACAGTCCAAAGCAGAGGAATTTTTGCTTTCTCCTATTTGATCTGAAAACCCTAGGCCAGCAAGGCCCACACACATACACCTGTCCAACTGCTGGGGTTACTTCCATGTCCCCTCGGATCACCTGACGCACACCCTGGAAGTGTCCCCTGGAAGCGTTCCTCGCTGTGCTCACAGCAGAACAGACCTTGAGTCCCGAGAAGCTGGGCTCTCTGAGGGCATCAGAAGTGCTGAGGTGGGGCCCAGACACACTGTGCACTTCAGCGTTCCCTCTGGGCAGAGAACACACACACACGGGTGCACAGGCCAGCACCCTGGACCACACAGAGCTGGTGAAAGTTTGCCCGCAAGCAGCGTCCGCGGCCTCCTCCACCACAAAATCACTCTTAAACCTGAGCAAATTAACAATGACTCACCAATACCACCTGACACCTGGTTCATATTTAAATGTCCATGTGTCCTCAAAACACTTTGAGGTGTAACTGACACGTACTTCAAAGCTTTTTTTAAAGCTCTTCTGTCCTCTCCCTCCAAACCAGGACCCAAGCAAGGCTTCCTCACTGCCTGTGGTCACTAACACGGGTTACACATCAGCACAGGACTTCCTTGGTGCTCCAGGGGTTGGGAGTCCACCTGCCAGTGCGGGGGTCACAGGTTCAATCCCTGGTCCAGGAAGATCCCACATGCCATGGGGCAGCTAAGCCCACGGGTCACAACTACTGAAGCCCAAGCACCTAGGATCCGTGATCCTCAGCAATGGAAGCCACCGAAATGAGAAGCCTGTGCACCTCAACTAGAGAATAGCTCCTGCTCACCACAGCTAGAGAAAGCCCATGAGCAGCAACATCCAGCGCAGCCATAAATAAATAAATAAAAATTCTAAAAAACATCAGCACAGCTTACAGACAATACCAAGCACGGCATCAGTGACACTGAGTTCACCACCTGGCTGAGGTGGGACCACAAGGTCTTTCTACTAGAATGACCACGAGTCCTTCTGCAACCTAGAAGTCATCAGTGGGGTGGCCTTTTGTCAGTACTTGAATATTTTGAACCAAAAATTTTACCCATATTGGTAAAAACATTTAATCCAACTCTAATCCAGACTTTCAACCAAACGTCCAGTTAATAGGAAACACAGGACAAAGGAAGAACAAGTCAGACCCCAGAGCTAGACAACTCAAGGATGTTCTTCCATCTATGGATGACTGATCTGGCTTCAGGAGTAAGAAACAAACAGGGTGCCTGATGCTAAAGACCCTAAAGGAAAGGTGTAAACACAGCTTGGGGTCAGCCAGGACCTAAGTAGGGCCCCCACAAGCCGTTCTATAGCCCACAGCACTAAACAGCTCAACACACTGGTGAGGGTGAGATGTCAGAAGGTCTCCCTCTTGTTTCCAAATTGCCAGGCAGCGTACACACCCCACAGACAATGCCAACAGGACAAACTGTTAACAAGAGTTGAATCCAGACGGTAGCACATGGGTGATCATTGTACTCTTCCTGATTCTGTATATTTCTGAAAATTTTCATACTAAAAAATTGGAGCAATGGGACTCCCTAGTGGTCCAGTGGCTAAGATTCTGTGCTCCCAATGCAGGGGGCCTGGGTTCAATCCCTGGTCAGGGAACCAGATCCCACATGCTACAACTACAGCCCAGTGCTACCAAACAAATAAATAAAAATTTTTAATTGAAGGAAAAATTGAAAACACTTTTTTTTTCCACTCAAGTTTGCTGAACTTAATAATAGGTATTTACAAAATCAACTAAAAGTACTCGTTAAACTGGGTATCAGATGATACAGAACTGTTTATTCCATTAAGTATGACAAAGGTAACATGATTGTGTGAGCAACTGGCCTAAATGAAGTTTTTATGGACCTGTAGTTTGATTTAAAATACTTCAACAACATAATAATTAAGCAATTATGGCAAAATGCTGTTAAATCTAAATAATACATACAGCATATTTATTTTACCATTCTGTCCTCCTTTAAAAAAAAGTGCTCCTTTAAAAAAAAAAAAGTGTTACCGGTGCAGCTGCTGTGGAAAACACTCTGGCAGTTCCTCAGAAGTTAGACATAGAACCTCCGTGTGATCCACCAATCCCACTTCTGGGTGTGCACCCAAAGAACTGAAAGCAGGAACCTAAACCAGCATTTGCACACCCATGTTCACAGCAGCACTATTCAGAACAGCCAAAACATGGAAACCTAACCGGCCATCAACAGCGAAACAGAGAAACAAAATGTGCTCTATACATACAACTCAGCCTTTACAAAGGAGGAAGTGACGCCACAACAGGGACAAACCATGCAAACATCATGCTGAGGAGAAGAAGCCAGGCACAAAGGGTTAAGTATGCAGAGTCCACGTCCAGGGCCCTCTAGACAAGTCAGTTTCATAGAGATGGGGGAAGGGAAGCTGGGACAGTCTCCCTGAGTGGAGGTAAAGGAGTTCTGAAACAGTAGTAATGGTCAAATGACACTGTTGATGTACTTAACGCCACTGATTTGGACATTTCAAAGTGGTTAAAATGGTCAATTTTATGTTATTTTATCACAATAAGTGAAGTGAAGTCGTTCAGTGGTGTCCGACTCTGCAATCCCATGGACTGTAACCTACCATGCTCCTCTGTCCATGGGATTTTCCAGGCAAGTGTACTGGAGTGGGTTGCCATTTCCTTCTCCAGAGGATCTTCCCAACCCAGGCATCAAACCTGGGTCTCCCGCATTGTAGACAGACGCTTTACCATCTGAGCCACCAGGGAAGTCTTATCACAATAAAAACTTTTTAAAAACCAAAGGAGGGAGACTACTTTGGCCACCTGATGCAAAGAGCTGACTCACTGGAAAAGACCCTGATGCTGGGAAACATTGAGGGCAGGAAGAGAAGGAGGCAACAGAGGATGAGATGGTTGGCTGGCATCACCCACTCAATGGATATGTATTTCAGCAAATTCCAGGAGATAGTGAAGGACAGGGAAGCCTAGCACACTGTAGTCCATGTGGTCAGAAGAGTTGGATACAACTTAGCAACTGAACAACAACAACAAAGGATGAGAAAAGTTGAAGAACACATAAATCAAGATAACAGTCCCTAACTCTACACCAAAGAGTGCCTAGAGAGGACTCCAGCTAAAAATGAACAAGTGAAAGGCAAAACCAACACAGCAGGCAAGAGCTTTCTAAGCTGCTTCCAGAAAGCACAGGTCAGTGTCAAGGCACCTAAGACGAAGGCCCCCTTCCTAATGAGCCTGTTTCTACTACATCTTCCCTGAGCCCACACACCAAACAAAAAGTTCTCACCCACGAGTAAGAAGCATTAAGCTTTCTTAATGGTGAGGACCTGGATTGACTGGCTTCCCAGGATGTGGGAGACTATTGGTACAGAGCTAGAATTCCCTTCTCTCTCCAACCTGCCTTTCTCTTCCTTCACCCACGTGCTGTCAGAGCACTGGTGACAATATATCTTTGAATATTATTAGCTGTGCTCCATGGGAAAACAGGCCCCATGACTGGTAAATTTTAAATCTTAAAAATTAGACTTTATATTTGTTTTTTTGGTGTGTTTTCTTCTATCTCCAATTTATTATGGCTTCAAGAGAAAACAAGGGAACGGGGAAATGGCTTACTGTGGGGAGTGCTCAGTAAATTGGTTCTGCACCTGCCTCTACAGGAACAGTCTCCATCGGGACGCCACGGACAGGGCACAGCAGCAGTGGCCGGGTGCTCGCCCACCCAGCCTGGACATGGGTTCTGGGAAGGAGCACACAGAGGGCCCTCTGGACTGGCAGTCCCCAAGCCTCGAGGACCTTACCTTTACAGTCATGTCTGACAAAACTGGAGGGCACGTGTGAACAAACACCCTAACGGACACTGACTGCAAAAATGAGAGAGGGATAGACAAAAACTGGAAGGTAAGTAAAACCAAAGTGCTGAAGTTGGTTTTTCTTTTGAAATCCCTCAAAACTGTCTAAAAATAAGATATCCTATCTCAAACACCTCAGTAAAAAAATAAAGGCCCTACACCCTTAACCAACCTGATGCCTTCAGCCCACACGTGAACCTTCCCCACAAGTCCTCAGGGCCTGGCTGCCACCGGAGGCAACCTGGACATCCTACCCCAATGAGCAGCACCCCAGTGGGGGGACAGGCACGCACTGGTGGGGCTGCTCCCTGCCTCATGCCCGCTCCACCGCGGGCTGCTGGAGAGTGGTGCTCACACACCCCCACTCCTGGTAAAGTCGGCCAACAACCAGCAGCTGCTTCCTACCTTTGTCATCACCAATTCCGGATAAGTAGTGAAAAACCCTCACTATAACGCTAACCTCAAAGCGCCACCCCTCAGCAGAATGAAGCCTTGATTATTCCGAAGTTCTCCAGGACGAGGTGATCTGGAAAGCTCACCATGCCTGAACTGAGACATCTCACAGTGACATACCTGGGCACCAATATCAACGATCCCAAGCAGGTGAGCATCCCACCACTAGCACAGACACCACGTGCCCTGCTCCCCATGTGTCCCCCACCCAACAGTCGGGCCCTGGAGACTCAGTCCTAAAGGGTTTCAGCGGCAGATAATTGACCTCGGGAAAGTGCAGGGCCACCAGAAGGCAGGTTTGTTCCTGCATAAAACAAATATGACCCGAAATAAAAAATATCCTACTACTCAAAGTGACTTTTAATGAAACTGAAGGCTATTTAAAGCAGCCAACTTCCCTAGATTCATCAGTACTTAATACTTGCTCTGTATAACCTCAACTTATAAACTGTGTTTACCCTGTTATATTTTTAAGCAAACACAGGTACAGATATAGTAACAAGGACAGGCTCAGAGCGGTCCCCAGGCAGGCAGCAGGCAGGCTCGCCCTCTGCACTCCCACGACTAGATCTTGTAGCCAACTTTGGTATTTTTTTCATTTTACTGAAAAATAACTGACTTAGATTACTATATAAATTGAAGGTGTACAGCATTATGGTCTGATTAACAGACACTGTGAAATGATTACACTAGGTTCAGCTGACGTCCATCTTCTCACTAGACACAAACAAACAAAAGAAAAGGAAAACACCCTCTCCTTTCCCTGAAGACTCTCAGGCCTTCCTCTCCCGGGTGTGGCACGCCACACCCAGAACTCAGCTGTCTCACAACTGGGCTTGTACCTCTGACCACCTTCCTCTAGTTCCCCTCTCCCCTCCTCTGTCTCTTTTCTATGACTTCAGGGTTTTGTTTTCTTGTTTTAGGTCCCACAGACAAGTGAGCTCATACAGCATTTGTCTTTCTCTGACTGACTTCACTTACATAATACCCTCAAGGTCCATCCATGTTGCTGCAAAAGACAGGCTTGCCTCATTTTTATGGCTGAGTAATACTCCACTGGATATCTATACTACATTTCCCTTATTCATTTATCTATCAACAGATACTTGTTTCTCTATCTTAGCTACTGAAAATAATGCTTCAGTGAACATGGAGGTGCATATATCTTTTCAAAGTAGTATTTTCATTTTCTTGGATAAATAGGTGTGAAGCTGTTGGATCATACAATCGTTCTATTTTTAATTTTTTAAGGAACCATCACACTGTTTCTATGGTGGCTGTACCAGTTTACATTCCCACCAACACTTGTTAGCTGTCTTGTTGATAACAGCCCACTCTGACTGGTGTGAGGTGATAGCTCACTGTCGTTTGGATTTGCAATTCCCTGATTATTCGTGATGCTGAGTACCTTTTCATATACCTGTTGGTCGTTCATATACTTTCTTTGGGACAATCTCTACTCAGGTCCCTTGGCCATTTTTTAAATTGCACTATTTGTTTTTTTGCTATTGAGTTGTATGAGTTCTTTCTGTATTTTGGGTATTAACTCCCTATCAAATACATGGTTTACAAGTATTTTCTCCCAATTCCATAGATTTTCTTTTCACTTTGATAATAGTTTTCTTTTTAAATTAAACTGAATTATTAACATAAATTTGCTAACATCTAGAATTAACTTGACTTTTACATTTTACATCCCCAAAGAGTAGTTTTCATTACTTAATCAGTCTGTAACATTTGCAAAATAGGCCCCTGGGGATGAAACCAGCCAGCACCACCTCGCCCACACAGCACAGGGAGCCTTTGGGCAAGCAATCTGGTGTGCTCTCCCACAAGGGCCAGGACAGCCTTTTTTCCCTTCTGATGCAGGGACAATACCTGGAGACTCTACTACTAGACAGCATCAACTATTAACAATGAGGGCTTACTTCTCTGAACTACAGGCTAGGTTTCCAAGTGAAACTGGAAATTCATTTAATTCAAGGGGGAAAAGTCTCGTGAGCAGAGTCTCATCTGTGTGAGCTCTAAATCTTACAGGTGACTAGTTGTATTTTCAGCAGTAAAGCTACAGTTTAGGGAATGTAGCCACTAACGACAGTCATCTACATGAGAAATTTAGAAGGTACCTTAGCTTTCGGTAAGGACATGAGTCCTAGCCAACTCTCAGGTCACTGCCCTGTAAACACCCAGACAGGCCACGCAGGAAATAAACTCGTCAACATTAATCTGTTTGCTACAAATCTCTCCACCTCCTTTAGAGGCCCACAACCCACTTCCAGCCTCCACTGGGAGGACAGAAGCTGCCACTTCCAAACTCGCAAAGCTGGGCCCCTTAGCACAGATACCTGGCACCCCTGCAGCTGGTATTTGCTGCCGTGAGGACTTCAGCCTGCAAGTAGCTCAGTAAGAAGAGTCTGTGCAGGGGAGCACAGACTGCTTCCTTAGCTTAAAACCAACAGCGCAAACATGGACTTCAGCCCCACCTGCAAACACTTGGAAACCAAGTAGCCTTTGCCTGTTGAGGAGCTTTTATAAATGAGGTTTAAGGAGTACCGACTTACAGGTGTTAGTAGAGCGCGTCACTAGCAGGGTGAGCAGCTGCAGTGACACCAAGGCTGCAGCAGTCATGCAGCCTCAAGTCTCCAAGGACATTTACCTCTTAAAATCACAGAATATTCCTTTCCTGTCTGCATTTTTTTTTAAAGTTATTTTTACAGAACCCTCTTCGCTGAAAGCCCAACCCTCAAAAGCAGTCCTGGATAAACAAAGAAATAGTGCCAAGCCTGCCTCGGGGAGGGTGAGAAAAGGCCAGAGGGCACCAGCCGCCTGAGCCCCCGCCCACCCCAGCCCCACTTCTGTGCTGACGCGCAGTCATCATCACTGCAGTTAGTTTGGAAGCAACGAGGAAGACGAGTTCTCTCCCTCCAGTGAGCAGCAGCTGTCAGCCAGCAGAGGTGAAATGCTTTACTGTCATGGAGGGGTGGTGACACAGGGCCCTGGCAGAGCACGGAGAGCTTAAGTGAGAATGAACACAAAGCCAAGCACCTCGCAGCTGAGCAGCCCAAAACGTCCACTTCTGCATCTGCGATGAGACTCGCGAGCATTTCAGGGCCCTGCCAGAAACAGTACAGCCTACACAGACCATCCCCCGCTGAAGGCTCCCAGCCAGACGCCCTGAGTGTCACTGCTGCCCCGCCCACGGTCAGACCAAAGGACGAAGTCCTTGTGACATGGCACATGACCAGCGTGCTGTGACAGAGCAGGACAGAGGCTCTATTCTGGTGGCGTGAAGCCAACCAACCGCGCCTACTCTCACGCAAGCAGGCCCCCACGCAGCCTCAAAGCACATGAGCTCCAAGCAGAGAAATGAGGATCTCCTGCCAGGTGCCACGCCTTTCTCAGCCGAGAGCCTAACTTTTAACATCGATCTTTTGGGCAAACACTGGCTAAGCATCTAATCCTACGTGCATAACATGTGTGCACAACTATGAGAGACACAAAGCAGACAGCATCCAAGAGAAGCCTAAGATAGGGTGGTCTTTCTCCTCTGGATGCATCCACCATCTCCACCGCAGGCTGCTTCTCCAGCTCCTCCTACCCGGACCCAGAGCTACTCTGCTGGGCCTGCAGTTCAATGTATGGGACAAAAGAGGTGTTCGAGCCAATCAAAGGCTCTTGAGGAGCAGCCCACTCCTCCCTGCAGGGGTCCAGCACCAGAGACAGGGCACCTGGGTCTGTCACAGCTCCACAGGCAGGGCCCCTTCCATAAACGTGGTCATCAGTCTCAGTCGACCCGCAAGTATCAACAACTTGTCAGCAAACACCATCCTGCCCACACAGCCCACTTTCAAGATTCCTGGACTCTCTGAGGACCGCTTTATGATGGGAGGCCCTCCCTGTCCCCTGAGCGGCCTCCGGCTAGGATCCAGCAGACACACTTGACTCCTCGGTCACTTTCCCAGAACGGCATCTCTGCCATGTATGTGAACTCAGGCATCATTCCTACAGCAAAATCTCAACCCCGTCATCCAGCTCTTCCTGGTCATAATCACATACTTTTCCCCAGAAAATGGTGTTCTCACTTTCCCTAACAGTGTCTCTTCCACTGAGGCCTTTTTAAACCCGATATTCATCCCAAAGCAAAGGACAGCAGGGGGACAAGAACAGCCAGAAGATGAGGCAGGGCCTCTCGTTAGCAGTGGCCACCTGGCCACTCTCCCTCCACCCGAGCCCTAGATGCTGCCTTCTCCCGGCCCCGGATCTAGGCCCGGGGTGCTCACTGCCAAGCTTTCTGCCCACCAGGCACTGGTGTTCCTCTAGCCTCTCTGACACCACCCACTCCCCGCGTGGTCTCCGCCTCCCCATCTCCATCAGCAGGGCCCTCGTCCCCCTCAGACCGAGCTCTGCTTTCCTGGCTTCGGCCACTACCGGCTCCTTCATGGGCTCCGACACTGCCTGCCTTTGCCCAGAGCCTAAGACCCTGCTGCTGCCCCTGCCCTGCGCACCCAGAGCACTTCCTCCAGCACACCTCCCAGAGCTCGCAGTGCCCTGGCCCCTGCAGGCAGCTCCGGCCCCACATCCTCCTTCCTCTCCCTGCATCTACCACGCAGTCCTGCACACAGCGAGCAACCAACGAACATCTGACTACACCAGTGGAACGTGGGGAAAGCTGTCTGTCCAGTCTCAGAGGCCCCTCCCTAAGACGTGTACTCACCCCAGTTCCCAACTGTCCTCCCAATCCACAGCAGGCCACATTCAGAAAAACCAGAAGTCAGCTACACGACTGCTGATACACAGTGGCTTTACACAGCGCCAAATGGGTGAATGGTTACGACGACAGAAAAACAAAGGCTGTACTCTTCACGACTGCCAAGGTCATGAAAAACAAGGAAAGACTGAAAAACTGTTACAGACAGGAGACTAAGGAGACATGCAACTAAATGCCATGTGGGATCCTGGAGAAGGAAAAGGACATTAGTGGGAAGTGAGTGAAATCTAAATGCATCAGGGATTGAATTAACAGCATAATGTATCAACGCTAATTTCTTAGCTTTGCCAACCTTAACACTGCTATGTAAGATGTTAATAACAGAGGACCTGGGTAAAGAATATAAAGGAACTCTCTATTATTTTTGCAACTTTTCTGTATATCTAAAATTATTCCAAAAAAAAAAAGTTTATTTAAAACAAAAACTTGGGACTTCCCAGGAGTCCAGTGGTTAAGACCACGCTTTCACTGCAAGGGGGCACATGTTGGATCCCTGGTCAGGAAACTAAAATACTACATGCCAAGTGACGCAGCCAAAAAAAAAACAAGATTTAATTTTTAAAATGAAATGAAATTTTGTAAATAAAATTTTAAAATAAAACCGTACTTTATACAGAATGTGCATTTCCACCATACCCTGTCAATGCCAAACTACACTAGCTGACCAATGGTACTGCATCTTCCAAGAACCAAGAGAGCTCTGATGAACCGAGGCCAAGTGCCAGAGCCTACTGCACACTGACCTGACCCAACCTCACCTATTAAGGACAGCATCTAAGGACTCTGAGCCTAGTGTGGTGAGCAGAGTAACTCCCCCAGAGAGGTCCACACCCTGGCACCTCTAGGCATCTCAGGCCAGTAATCAGCAGACAGGGGACTGACTACCACGGATGATTCTGGTGAGCCCAACATAATCACAGGGGTCTTTAAAAGTGGAAGATGGAGGCAGAAGAGAGTCAGAAGAGGATGTGACTTTGGAATAAGGTCAGAGAGATGCAAGGTTGCCAGTTTTAAAGATAGAGGAAGGGGCCATGTGAAGAGCCTCCAAAAGATGAAGAGGCAAGGAAATGAAGTCTCCCTGAACTGGTAAAAGCAACCAACCCTTGTAAGCCTCTGGTCATTTGTTACACAATCACAGAAAATAAGCAGTGACAGCACTGAAATGGAAAACTCACAAGCACTTCTCCAAACCCTTAGACCATGTTTCCCCCACCCTTCACAGCCTCCTGAGTCACCCCTCCATCCCCCTTCCGGGTCCCACCTCCCTCCAGCCAACAGACTTGGAGGCTTAGAAGAAAAACATCAAGGAAAAGGACATGCTATGGGTTAAATTCTAAGAGATTTTCTCCCCAACTTTTTAAAATTGCACTGTGCCATTAAATAACTTTTTTTTAAAGATTAGCTATTGCTTAAAAATACTCTTTAAAAACCAGTCACCTGATGAGAACCCAGATTCAGCAGAATCAGATCTAATCACTTTACCAAAGAAAAACAAAGTTCACATGTACCTCATTAAGGTCATATCTGCTGAAATCACTCAGGATATGAGTGAAAGCACATGTTACTTTTCTAAGCTTCATATTAAATGATAAGACACTTCAAAGATCACCTTTCCCAAGTATTAGGGAAAAATTTTCCCCATAAGAAAACATTCTGAGTTTAAGCATACTTCATATATTAACCTCTAAACTCAAAAACTTCAAATTCTAGATGGACTCTTCTCAAGGTAATAGAAATATATATGTAGGTAAGCTAAAGTTAAATATATTAGGAGCCAATCATACAACTCCAGCAAACAAAGAATTCACAACTCCAGCAAACAAAGAATTCACAAAGTCTAGAAATTCCTTGAAAACAGAGTCACCTTGAGGGCTAGAATTTCTGACCCCTAAGGCTGGCCGTTCTCCTCTGTAAGCATCCAAAAGGGTAAGATTTGTTATAAAATGTTCTGCACATCCTTTAATTAATCAGGCATTTTAGTAATTTTTTTTTTAGTTAATCCCTTCAAGAGTGGTGTCTTGGGGTTTTGTTGAGTTTTTATTTTTACTTCCTGTTTTACAGGATGTAAAACCGCACTTAGAAACACACTAGCAAGGCTTAATTTCTTAAGAGTAATAACGTTCTCCACTGCATTTCTCATGCTCTCTGTTTTAGGTTAAGTTTACACAATATAGTCATAATATCTTCAAGTCTACATTTTCACCCTGAATTAAATGAAAGTTTTACTTTGCTGGATATGAATGAAGTAAAAAAGAAAAAACAAAAACACTATAACTTTAGCCCAAACCTTATGAACCAAGCACCTTCCGGCAATGTCTTCATTATTTAGCAACATTCATTATTCCAGCACATTCACATTCTAGATCTGAAGATGACCACTGAAAGGGGAAGAAGACAGGACACTCACTACTGACGAGCTAAGAACAATCTACTTGCTTTATTTTAAATGAAAAATAATCTCTGATATCAGAAGGTTATTAGGCATTTACAAATTAAATTTCAATCCCAGTTCTTTTTTTTTTTCCCAGCTCTTCTTAAACGTCACCTTTTTTAGTTGAACAAGTAGCTGGAGAAGGAAGGATTTTATGAATTTTATTTAACCTTGACCAATAAAACATTTCTTTTTCAATCTAAGTGATCAAAAATGTTTTTAGTTGAGAAAAGGCCAACATTATGTCATGATGAGGCACACACTGGTTTCTTTACAAGTGGAAAAAGAACACCTACAGATTTTCAGGATAATAAATAATTCACTGCACAGATGCCAAGGGCAGGACTGGACATGCGGGTCTTGCCCAGCCAGCAAGCACTCTGTAACTCAGACAGCACTGCTCACCTCAATACTAGCCGGGGTGGGCTTCCCAGAAGCCGTACTCTGCAACAGGATTTTCAGTCATTTCAGCCCTTCAAATATCAGAGCTATATTAATAAGCCAGACTTATTTTATTTTCACACTGAAAACCCCCTTAACTGTTTACTCACAGGATCATAGTTGGAACTGATGGTTTTCTCAAGTTCGAGAATGACGTCTTTAGTTTCAAAAACAACCAATCCCCCTCACCTAAAATGTTAAAACCATACAAACCTAAACCTACTGTTATCTAAACCAAGAACTCAAGTCTTTATCACCCAAATTATGTCCACAATTAGGGTTTTCAATAACAACCTTTTCCCAAGTCCATAACAGGTTCATTTTTTAAACTTTATAGAAACATAAACCACACACAACCCTATTTTTGTGCATTTCTCCCCAAAGAGATTTTTTTTTTTTCCTTCATTAAAATACCAAAACCGAGCAGGGAGATAAGGGATAAAAGTAAAGGGGGCTGCCTCCATTCTGGAGAATTTATATTGCTTTGGCCTTTTTTATCACAACTGATCAGGAAGTTAAAAACTAAATCAAAAAATGCTAAACCTTTCGAGAGACTCCACTATGACATTAAACCACTGTTGACATGACACAAGAGCAGCACCAGCAGCAAAGTACACCTGGCCAGCCTGACTGTGGCCCCAACACAGCGGTCTTACCAAAACTGCTTTCACAGAGAACATTCTTCTTCTTCCACAAAGACAACCTTCCTTCAATTACGGACATTTTCCTTTATATCTTGTTTTGTGTCAACTGTAAAAGCCATGTCCCCCACCTTCCTCTAAATTGTAAACTTGTAATGATAACAAATGAGAAAACAGCTAAAATGTACATAGCATAATTTCTAGTCAGTCAAATAGATGTTCATAATCCTAAGTTTGTCCTTTCAAAATTACTCAAATACTTCCATACACAGTCTTTAAACAATTCAACAAATACTTCTTGAGCCAATTCTATGACCATGGTCATTCCTAGCCTGCAACTCGGATGACAAAGAGACCATAACTACCTTTATTAAGCTTACAGCCCTGCTATCACGGGGCACATACAAACCAATCACATCTGATCAACTGTATCAAGTTCTACATGGCTATTACAAGGTGGGGTTATAAGAAGACTCTATGAGGAAGCATATTTAACTAACACCCAAAGGCTGAGCAGGGGTTATCTTAGAAGTTTTGGAGTGGGGGCAAGTAGGGAAGACTTGCAAGGGACACAGTAATGAATACTCAGCAAGACCCTGGTCCAAGCAGAGAGTCACCTAGGAAATTAAAGGCCAATGGAGCCAAAGCATCAGGAGTTGAAAAGACCTGAGTGAAGTATGGGGGGGGGGGGGGCAGGGAGGGGGGTTCACACAATCAGGGTCAGACTGATTAATAATCATCTGGGGCACTTTTCATTAAAATGCTTGTAGTTCTAGCATATACATAAAACACGAAATAAATAACACACTATTTGGGCTTCCCTGGTGGCTCAGTGGTAAAAAATCGGCCTGCCAATGCAGGAGACATGTCATCCCTGGTCCAGAGAGATCCCAAGAGCCAAGGAGCAACTAAGCCCCTGCACCACAACTCCTGGGCCCACAGGCCGCAACTCCTGAAGCCTGGGCCCCTAAAGTCAGTGCTCCACAACAAGAGAAGCCAATGCGATGGGAAGTTTTCGAACCGTAGCTGGAGAAAAGGTCCACGTAGCAATGAAGATGCAGCACAGTCATATATATAAAAAAGAAAAAAAAAATTGGCCCAAAAGTGAATTTGAAGGAAATTCTAAATATGGAGGAGGAGGAATGGGAGTTAAGAAAAGCACAGAAGAATGCTAACAAAAACATACATTTATGTACACAGCTGAGCCTGACTCTGGCTTAAAAAATATCAAGAATAACATCCATCAAACAACAACAACAAAACCACTTGGAATAGAAACATCTCTATCAGAATTAACAAAGTAGGTGTTAAAGTGGATCCTTTCCTAAGCCTTTTTAAAAAGGTTTTCTAACTGCCTGCATTCCAGGTGCCAGGGATTGACCCTTTTTTTTTCCCCCGTATAGCTTTAAGATAAAACTGGAAAAGTTGAACTGCAAAGAAATTCCATTTGAAATTCAAATTAAGAGAACACATATGAAAACATTTCAAGACAGTTTAACTTTCAGTTATTTGTGTTCACTTATTTTTTCTGTAAGTTTACCAAACTGCCAAGCTCGATCCTCAAAGAGCACTGACTGAACAACAATAGTGAACTGACACGGTGCACAGCCAGACAAACAGTGCAGCTTCAGTCTCACCTATTAACTAGCGAGTATTTTACTATTAAAGGAAGTTCATCCATTACACTTTCATTTGAGACATGAAGGGACTTACACAGGATAATGGACAGATCAAAACACTTATTTTGGCAACAAATGACGATTATGCCCTGAACCAGCATTTACTGACACTCTCTAATTATGTTATTTAATTGATGATGGGCTCAGTGCCATCCTATGCAAAGTAACTCCTCTCTCATAATGGGTGAAATGTAACCTTACTATGTCAAATGTACTTAAAAACTCAAGGATCACAAAGCATCTTGACAAATACTCTTCAATACAAATAGCATAGTTTCTTTAACTCTGTGTGTAGAAAGTTCTACTTGTCACTGTATCAACACTGTAATTAGAGCTGAGATGACAGCCACTGGTCCCAAGCAGCCCATCTGGTTTGGAGAGATGAAAGGCCTGCTGTGCGGTGTGATTATCACGGCAGGGCCCGCAGCACACCCAAAGAAAAACATCCAACAGTGGCAACCCAGAGGTACAACTGCAAAGGAGGAATTCACGATTACGTGACACCTTTAAAAACAAACTTCTGGTAAATCCTGTTATGCGCATTTTCCCACAATAAAAAAAAAAAACTTAGAAGAAAAAGACCTTTTCCAAGTTCCAAATCTGGGTCAAATTTGGCACTATCTTTGGGCAGCTTTTTAACTAACTCAGGAGGCACGCACAAAGAACAGAGGAAAATGTCACAGCAACTTGGTCTTTGTTTCCTCTGTCCAGAGAGCCAGCCTATCAAAGGCGAGCCTGCTCCAGAGCGTGACACCACAGAGGGCGGACAACAGCTGAATGGAGGGCGGGGGACCAAGGGTCACAATCTAGGTTGAGCAAGATGTGTTCCCTTTTTCTTCTCTAACGACAGTTTCAAAGTAATACCAGAGTACTTGTGCAATCATCCTCAAAAGACACAAACAGAACTCAGGTCCTCCAGGATGGCAACACTGAGGAAGAGCAATCAAGGTCCTACAGAGAGCAAAGGCAGTCTCAGGGTCTCTGATTTAGAACTATCCAAGTTATGCCATTGACTGGGTCTGCAGGAACCAAAAATAGTAACTGTTTCAATGGCACTTTTTCCACGAGCAGAATCATCTTACATCTTTTGGCTAAGAACATTTCATTACCGCCCCACCACCACCAAAGCATCAGAACAGTCTTAAGTTTTGCAATTCAACAACTGCATACACTCTCACTCCTCAGTGGAGAAGGAATGTGAAGGATATTGCGCAAGTCACTTCAGAAGACCCTCTCACCATATAAGAAAGTCTGAAATTTGACTATGGAGAAATTCTTGCAAAAGAATATAAAGCTTCTCATAGCCTATAGAAACCATGAAACCTAAGCCTGCTGCATCTGAACTGCTAGAAAGAAAATGGTTCTGAGAGCACAGAGCCCTTTAGGCCAGTTTAATCTTCCAAAGCCTCTTCCAAAACTCTTCGGAAGTTGGGATAGGAAACACAACAGAAGCAGAAAACCTTTTCAGGACATCAGGAAAAAAGCAGCCCCCAGAAAAATTAAGACTCCCCGCAAAACGCCAGAGATACAAGACTCAACACAATCCCTCTTTGAGAGGGGACTGAAACCATGTGGCAGGGCCAACCCTACATACACACTCACACATATACACACACACTCTCACAGCTACCGCCCTGCCAGGGGATGATGAAATGAGGAACGGAAATTAACATTTCAGGCAACGTCTCACATTGTTCCTTGAGGCCAAGGGCTGCTGCTGGTGCAGCCGCCGCCGCCGCTTCCCTCCCACCCGCCCCGAGTCCCGCCTACCCTCCCCCCGAAACACCCCCGCGCCGCTGCCCCGCATTCCTGCCCCTCCGCGGGCCCACGCGCCTCCCGCGGCCCCAGCGCCCCCTCTCCCTCCAGGGCCCCGGCTCTCCCGCCCCCTCCGGCTTGGAGCCCAAAGCCGCCTGCTCCCATTTCAAAACAGCGATAATAATAGGGACGCTGGGAATAACAACTACAGCCCACACCACGAAAGCGCCCCTCCCGCGGGTCAGAGGTCGGCGCCCCGCTCTCCAGGTGCCCGGGGCCCTCCGCAGCTCCAGGCCGGCCTTTCAAGGTTGCCTGGGCCCCCCAGGCCCGCCTGGAACGTCCAACGGCCCCCCATCTGCCCCTCGCGCTGCCCCGGGACCCCTAGGTTCCCCAGGCCCAGCCGAAGCGCCCCGTCGGCCCCTCGGGCTTCCCAGGCTCACTCAGAGCCCACCCTCAGCCGCCTACGAGGCGCCCCCACCCCCCAGGCCTGCCCCAAGCCCCTGTCGGCTCCTCAGAACCCCTGACGACCCCCGTCGGCTCCTGCCCGCCCACAGTCCATCCTCTGCCCCCCAAGGCTGCCCGAGACCCCTGTAGCCCCCCCGCCAAGGCCCCAGGCCCGCCAAGAGCTCCTCGTCGGCCCTCTGGGCCCTCCAGGCCCACCCCGAGCCCACCCTAGCCCTTGTCTGCCCCTCAGGCCAGCCTGGAGCCTCTAGTCAGCCCCCGGCCCCCAAGTCCGCCCGAAGGCCACCGTCGACCCGCCCGACTGCCCCCCACAGGCCCACCTGAATCCCCCCCACAAGTCCGTCCGGAGACCCAGAGCGCCGTCACCACTGCCCCGGACCCCGGACCCCAGGCCCGCAGGAGCCCGCCGCGCTGCTCCGCTCGGCGCGCAAGGCCTGCAGGCCGCGAGGCCGCCCCACGCCCGCCCTGAGCCCCGCGCGGCCGCGGCTCTCACCGGCTCCGGCTCCGACTCCGGCTCCGGCCCGCGGCTCAGCGGCGGCGCGCGGGCGAGGCCATGCAGCCCCGGCCCGTCACCGGCCCGCGGCCCGAGCGGGAAGGCGGCGCGGGCTCCGAGCGCCGGCGAGGCGGGCGGAGACGAGCCCGCCCTCGGGCGGCGCCGCGGCGGTCGGGCTCTCACTGAGGGGGCGTCGGGCCGCGCGCTCGGCGGCGCCTCCCCGCTTGGGGCCCTCGCTCCATCGCGCTCCGGCTCGGGCGGCCTCTGGCTCCGGGACCCGGCGGCGGCTGCGGCGGCGCCGGCAGCATGAGACATTACCTCCCATTGGCCCGCCGTATCCGCCACCACCATTGGTCCGCCGAGTTCGGGCACAGGGATGCTTACGTCACGGCGTCGGGGAGGAAGTGAGCCTGGGGCCAAGGGAGACGGCGAGATTGACAGTATCTGGGAAGGGCTGGGGCGGGACCAGAAGGACGTCCGGGGTCGGATTGGACAAGATCGTGCGTCCAGGCTCAAACGTCACTGAGGTAGCGAGAAGCTGGATTGGCTACGTATTTCGCACAGGGGGCGGGTCTTTTGGCCTCGGACATGACGATTGGCCTTTCCAAGTGCCGGAAGCGGCGAAGGGAACCGTCAGGAGCGGGTCTGGGCGGAAGGCGCTAGAAGGCGCGGTGTGGCGGGCCGCCCACTGGTAGGGAGGCGCGCCCGCGAGTTCAGGGCCCGAGAGGGAGCGGTTGGTGCTCTGTAAGCTCACACCCAGACCATTCTGCTCTGGTTGCACCTGCTGCTGGCGCAGGGACGCTTGACCACCGTCCACCGACCGAGTTGCCTCTCAGATCTACTTTTTTAAAGGGGACGAAGATCCTTCAAGCCGCGCGGCGGGGCCAAAGAGAAAAACACTGACTTCAACCAAATAGGGAATTAAAATTAGGAAATATGAATAAGGAGGCAGTTTGCCTAGAAGTAATCTGAGAACATACTAAAGCAAAAGCAAAGTGAAGTTCCACAGAAGCAGAACTTATGGATAAAAGTATACACTAGCGAAAAGAAGTTCAGAGAAAAGGAAAGAATGAAACCTTTGAACATATTAATTCACAAATGTTTACTGAGTGTCTGTTACCGGCCAGGCACTAAATCAGGCACTGAAAACTGGAACGGCGGTCTATCTACCAGCATGTGGTTTCTCACCATGGAGGGAAGACACACGTTCGTTGAATAGTCATACAAGTACCTAATTACAGGCTGTGATAAGTGCTTTGAAGGAGAAGTATAGGGAGTTATGAAGGAATACTGAGTGAAAATCAGGTCTAGTCTGGGCAGTGGCTCGACACTTAAGGTGCTGCCAGAAGGCTGAGAAGTAAGAGTAAGATGTGGTGGAGAACATCCAATAACGTGGCTTCTAGCCACATGTGACAAGCACTGGAAATGTGGCAAGTCCAGGTTGACATGTGCTGTGAATATAAAATACCGGATTTCGAAGGTGTGGTGTGAAGAAAAGAATGTAAAATGTAAATTAGCAAATCTTTGTATTTATTACATGAGGTGTGTGAGCTTAGTCACTCACCCTTTGCAACCCTGTGGACTTTAGCCCACCAGGCTCCTCAATCCATGGGCTTCTCCAGGCAAGAATACTGCAATGAGTTGCCATGCCATGCCCTGCTCCAAGGGATCTTCCCAACCTAGGGATAGAACCCACATCTCCTGCATTACAGGCAGATTCTTTACTGCTGAACCACCGGGGCAGCCCTACTATATGTGTAAATGGTAGTGTTTGGGACAATTGCATTAAAATATAGTGTTAATGTTAATTAAATCTTCTTTTTTTCTTTTTAACTGTAGCCACTTGGGAATTTTAAATGACATCCTGGCTGCATTCCATTTCTGTTGGACCACCCTGGGCAAGGGGGCAGCCTAACCCATGTCCTTAAGGTGGAGAGAGGCCTGGTGGCTGGAGGGACAGCACTCATTTATTCAAAGCACACTGAGGGCTTTTGAGTGCCTACTATGTGCCTGGAACAATTCTAAAAGTGAAAAAATGAACGTTAGTCCCTCAGTTGTGTCTGACTCTTTGGGACCCCATGGACTGTAGCCCACCAGGCTCCTCTGTCCATGGGATTCTCCAGGCAAGAATAATGGAGTGGGTTGCCTTGCCCTTCTCCAAGAGATCTGCCCGACCCAGGGATCAAACCTGTGTTTGCCTTCATTGTAGATAGGTTCTTTACCTTATGAGCCATAAGGGAAGACCAGCACAATTCTAAGGCCTGTATTAAATATGGGGTAGTGGGGGGCTCAGATTAGATCACCTTTGAGCTGAATCACAAAAGAAGCAAGGCATGTGGATTGGGGAAGAGCACCCCAGCACTCACAGGAAGGAGCCTCAGCAACCACAGAGCAAAGCTGGAGCAAATGAGATGAGGTAAGTGCCTGGTACGAGTCCCAATTCAGAGTTGAAATTTCACTCTAAATGAAAACTAAACCATAGAGAGTCTCAGGAAGGTGAGGGGACCCACTGTTGAAAGGGTCACTCTGGAGCTGATGGGAGCATGGAGGAGGTGGCTGTGATGTCCAGACTGGTGAGACAGTGGCATCTGGGATGTGTTTTGAAGATAGAGTAGGCACGATTTTGTGAGCTGTGAGAGAAAGAGGCAGGTCTGGGATGCAGTCAACATTGGCTGGAAAGACGGGGAGGAATAGGTCTGGGTCACAAAACTGGGAATTTAGTTTTATACAGTTAAGTCTGAGATGCTTGGGCCTCCTCATGGAATACTAGGGGGACAGGAACAGAGAGGTGGCCAGACCTCTGGAGGCCTCCAGGCACAGGACTGGATCTCAGCCTGCAAGTAGCACCTGCTGTGAAGGGCTCAGAGGCAGCAACTGCCAAAACAGTGCGAATTTGACAGGGGGCTAGCAGGAAAGCTGTCACAGTGGCTCTGGAGAAAAGAGACACAGGAAGAGTGATGGGGACCTAGAGAAGGTGGACAGTGGCAGGGTGGTGCGACAGGGGTCAGGAGCCAACCACCTGCTGGGCTAGGGGGTTGGAAGGGGCCTGCCAGAGCCAGCATTGCCACATCTTCTAGTTTTTTATTGGAAAATAAATTTTGATTGGACGTTTCAAGAAGACATTTGAATAAGAGTTCAACAATCTGTCAAACATTGTGCGGCCAAGCAAAACATCAGATCCACAAATTCCTGACCTTGATCCCTAAAGGGCAGTTCTCCAGCCCTTGCCTGTGAAGTCTGCTTTCCTTCAGCAGTTACCTGGGCTCACCTCAAGGTTCTGGCCCAGAAGCTCTGGGAGAAGCCCAGAGCATCCCCAAGCCCAGTCAGGAAGGCCTGGCCCCAGCAGCACCTGTGCTTGAGCATCTCCCATACTGCTCTCTGAGTGTATGCACCACCGCCCATACCTCCCCGTCCACCCCCCACCCAAAGCTCCTAGGTTCACCTTGCAAACACCTATTCAGGCCTATGTTTGCCAGGAACTGACCTGGGAACTGTGTACTGAGCCACAAACAAAACCAGGCTCCTGCCAAAGGCACTCATGTTCCAGCATGTCTGTCTCTGAAACCCAATGGAGCTCATAGTTGACCAGACACAAGCCAGTCCATGGCTCCCCCAGTGATGCTGGGTGCCCTCCTGGAGAAGAAATGATGCATCCTACCTGGCTCTTCCTTGAGTGAAGGCACGAGCACCTTTCCACACTCACCAGCCGCCCACACCCCTGTGCCATGTATGGCCTGGGAGAGTTGGCGGGCTGCTGTGCCCAGTGGAACTCCTCCCTCTGTTGCAGAGTGGTCAGAGCAGGCCCACAGCCTGGCACCTCCCTTCTTCTTTTTCCCTGGGGCCCTGTGTTAAGAACTGGAACCTGGGTTTGGGCCCAACTGGCCCAGCCTCAGCCCTGTGCTCGACCCCAGCTTGCTAGCATTCTCAGCATTAGAATCTGGAACCCAGGTTCATTTCACTGTAAATTATTACACGTTTCGCTTTCCAGTTACCATAGTTCTGTGTTGCTCAGTTGTGCCCGACCATGGGATTTTCCAGGCAAGTGTACTGGAGTGGGTTGACATTTCCTTCTCCAAGCTTTGTGTTGTATTATCCCCCAAACCTCAAGAGGAGGAGGAACTGTGGCAGAAAGCAGGATTTATATATTCCTGTGGCCCCTGAACTTGGGGCCATCAGAACACCCCCCAATTTTTAAAACTCTCCTCCCAGTACTTTTCCTGTAGTCCTACAAGTTTAGATGTCATGTTAAGAGTTGAAATATGATGATGTAATTTTTTCTTTAATCAATTCATCACAAATCCAACTAGAAGACTGAGAGTGAAAATAAGTCTTCCTAAGACATTTCCTAATCACACTGTCCTACACTTGCACAGTGAATTTCCACCTGCAGAAGGCAAGGGCCTTGCTCAGTTGGGAGATGGACACATGCTCATTCAGCAAATGATTGGATGCCGGATACGTGTGCTGGACAACAGTACAGCCTCAAAAAAAAAAAAACACACAAAAATGTGTTGACACTTTCACAGTCAGATAGTCAGGACTTGACACACCATCTTGTGATAATGTAACTGGAGTAGGATGTGCCAGAAGCTTTCTCAGGCAGCCACATTCAGTAAGTGGCATGATACCCGCCTGCAGCCCCCTCCTTGGATTTCTGAGAAAGCCACAGACATCCCTGTGCTTCTCACCATCCATGGAAAGCCGCCCCTGGGGACACAGCTGAGCTCTGCTGGTGACAGTGGTTGGGACAGCAGTCCTCTGGCTAGTGCCAGTTCTTCAACTAACTACAATGCTTATTTTCCAGGATGGTAAATTCAGACCGTTTTACTAATGCTGAATTCAGTAAAGACTTTATATGAAAAACAAATTCCCCAAGTTGTCCCTCAGTACTTAGCTGGAGACGTGCGCAGAGGAACAGTGCTTTTATTTTATTATTTTTTTTGGAACAATGTTTTTTAATGGTCTTTTTTTTTTCAATTGAAGTATAGTTAATTTATAATGTTTTGTTAGTTTCAAATGTACAGCAAAGTTATTCAATTATACATATATATGCATGTTCTTTTTCAGATTCCTTTCCATTATAGGTTATTACAAGGTATTTTATACAGTAGTGTGTATATGTTAATCCCAAACTCCTAATTTATCTCACCCTGCCCCCAAACCCTTTGGTGACCGTAAGTCCGTTTCTCTATGTCTGTGAGTCTATTTCTGTTTTATAAATAAGTTCATTTGTGTCATATTTTACATTCCATATGTAAGTGGTATCATATATTTTTCCGTCTCTGACTTCACTTCATGAGACAGTCTCTAGGTCC